CATATCTGTAGTACCTGTTACGACAACGACGGCCTTCGTGCCTTACTTGCTGTCAGAGGCAAATTGCCAAATTCGATGCCTGTTTAATGTTAGATGTGTTCGCACTACTCATGTGATCAAAGCACATGACTCTACAAGACGCTAACATGCGTTGTTGACGTCATATGTAATATGTATGTACATGGAAATAAACACAGAGAAACAATTTGACAAATCCACAAACAACAACAGACAACAGTCATTGAGTCGGCCACAGACAACACACCAAAATTATACCTGTGTACTTTACTCTCCTCGACCGACGTAACGTAGTCGAGTTCTGTGTCATCCTTGCGTTGATCTTCATCGTGTAGCACTTTACCCTTGACAACTTTGTTGTTGATCTTCTTGTTAAACCCAAAAGATGTAAAATTACTAGCTGTCGTTTGCTTTACGTTTTCACACATCTTTCCAGATCGTCTTCAAATGACATCGTGGCGCCACCTTTCGGAAAATCAGACAACTATATATTTTACAAAATTCACTTACTAATGTACACAATGTAATAAATATTGTAATACATGTTTGACTTAATTAATAAATGTAAACGAAATAAACATACTTTTCATTGTTTCAATTAAATTTCAATTTTTTGTTTGAAGAATGAGATCGTTTTTTATTGTATGCGTGCGCTTGAATTTTTTATTCCTCATTGATTCACAGATTCACAGATTTAAGCTTGTCACTGTCGGAGTGGAAACACAGCAGTCCAACAGTCCCGTCTATTTCTGCATTTCTGTACAAGTCATAAACTTGCAAAAGCGCACAATTCCGCGACTTCCGCTGATAGCCCTTGAGATCTTTGTATCATGCAAAGCGAATAAGTAGATGGACTTTACTGCCTCCTGTGCTACCTCTGGGAAAGTCATTGATAAGTTAAGAGGGGGGGGGGGGGGGGGGGAAAAAGAACATAAAAAAAAGATCAATAAAAAAAAAGGTGGGCCGAACTAGGATCGGGCTATAAGCCGTGGACCCTGGGAATAACCACTTGTCGCTCTTTCACCTCGGACATCCTCTCATTCACTCACTAGTACACATCGTTGTTTACGTCCTAAGTAGGAGAAGCTCTGCCATACACGAAGCTGGAATGGGTTCCAGTATTGCCGTACATTCTCGATCTTATGTATGAGCGCGTTGATGTGGGACGCACCTTGATCGAAAAAGCTTTCATGAAGCGTTAGCAGTAAATTACATCCACTACCAGCTCGCCTTTCATCACCAACGATTTCTGTTCCTGTTCATCTAGTAGGCCCCTACTTGTATCAGCTCAAGAACATGGCAGATAGACGCGCCACTGATAAATCCAAATTGTTTACTACCTGAATAGTTTATTACCTTTCATAATGTATTCAACCAATGGCTCTTTTGCGAAAATAACTCTATATACCGAGCCTTCACGTTTGATGCATGTCAGAACGCTGACTGGTCTGTAAATTCCTACGACCTCCTTTCCGGCTTTCTGAAGAGTTGCTGTTGTGAAACGAAGAATGGGTTCAGCGTAGAAATGGATTGAAGAAGATTCCAAACTTGCGTGTGGGTAAACTGTACAACCTTTAATACTCATGCATACACTGGGTGTAAGGCCACATCATCAAACAATCGCGCCAGCAAACAGACAAGAGAAACGCCGCACGTAGCGCATACCGCGCGTGTGCTCAGCTTCAGCTTCGCGCCCAGAACCCGGAATCTGCCGCATACCCTCGCTATTACATTCTCTATATATTCGCTCAAAACTCCCGTACATCTTAGCGCGGACATGGTCCAGCCGGCCCGTTCCTGTCGTCAGTTCCAACCTTGCCTCCATTTCACAATCTATTCCAAGACCGCCACTAGAAACTTGCCCTAACGTAGAACTGCTTATCCCACCTCCGTAAGCATCACCTCGTAGCCCTGCCCGCACGCTGGCGTCTACGCAGACTAACTGCGTCACAAACGAACACGTGAAAAAGACATGTTACAAGCCTGTTACATAGCCGCGACATATTCGCACTCCTGTGGTATCTGCTGGGTTTTGTATAGACGCGCACTGCAGGTAAAGAAATTGATCCCGTGAGATAGTGGGCCTTGCCGGGATGGCCGCACTGTAGCCGTCAATTTCCTTTCCAACGACCCATCCGGGGTGGATGTCTGTCAGCAAGGCCTGTGTGATTTGATAAAGTTTTGAACCGTCTCAATTAACTTTAGCGCCAGCAACCCCGTGCTACTCGGCAAATCCTCTAGATTGCTATCAAGTTTTGGATCGTCAGACCCGGGTGTAATGGTTATACAAATGGTTAGCCGATCACGTCTAAGTTTAACGGACCTAAGGTCAGTGTCATAATTTAAGTGTTATGTTAGTCACCTACTAGGCTGGCAGAGCACGTGGCCTCTGCGGGGCGTCCGCATCCATGGTAAAATGAACGGACATTAATGCACAGCAGCGAGCAGGCCCCGTCGGCACAGCGAAATGACCACGAGATGAGAGAATAAAGTCTGGTAATCGCTGCTAGCATAATACAACTTATAGCTGAGGCTAAAAAACATGATTCAATATATAAACATACGCTTTTTAGAACTATCAATTAGATTAAAAAGAGCAATATCACAGAGTACTGGCTAAGGGCATTTACCCAAATATAAGATCACCAAACCCCCTCCATACTACTACCCCAGCTCAAGGCGTGTCCTCAAGCGTATGTAACAAGGGATGTAGTGGCTTATCAAAAAATTCTAATTCTCAAAGATAGAATTGCCACAAAAATTGCCCATGCCGTCACAGGGCCAAATCTGGATATCTGGTCGAGCTCCTTTATTTACTCCAGCTACCGCCGCCACGAAACCTAGATCAGCTCAATATAGATCAATGGGCAAAGATAAATATAAGTTGCCGTTTCCACACTACACCTCTATCCTCTTTGGCCTTCCGGTTGCCTGGGTCCTCATGCGATCACTACACCTTGATGCAACATTTAAGATATTTCCGAACATAAATATTGAAATAAGAATGTTTATTAACCCCCAGCTCCAAATAAACTTCTCACGATCTTCACAACAATTGGCATCAAAAGGAAATATCTGTACTTTTTGTACAAAGTTAGTATTGAACACAGTTCATCTTTTGTAGAATGGTGAATGTATTGCTTTGGAATATTGGACCCGATTGCTTTCTTGGTTCGTCCAAGTGGCTTGATATTTGCGGATCATCCATCGACTTGGAAACCGGCCTTTGAACGGCGCAGTAACGAATATTATCTCTGGGCTCTCCTCGACTCCCAAAAAAGATAGATCATAAATCTTTAATTTAATTGATATTAAACTGGCATTATAAAATATGGGTAGAATATCGCTCAAAGTTAAGCGAAAAGATTCAACCCTGGCGCCAGTAAAGCATATTGAGAATCTCATGAAATATGAAAAATACATAGCCAACAAATACCAACGTCGACAAGTTTAATGGAAATTGGCTCATAATGCACAGAACTTTAAAAGCTTATATTCGTAACAGTTGTAAGTATTTAACATATAACAACAATACTTTTGCCTATATATATTGCCGATTTCTGTTGCTGGCTGCATGTATTGCAGTACGATATGCCGCCCTGCAAAAAATTTATGGCAAATATTACTCTGTATAGCTCTCGTCAATACTAATTATTGTTCATATTGACGCAATGTATGCCTATTTTTTGATTGTATTGCTTTGTGGATCTTAAGAAATCAAAAACATTATAAAAAAAATATATCATATGTGTTAAAACTCAAAATTCTTGCCATACTTTTAATTTTTTTTTGATAAAAAGCTTTTCCCGGCACACAGGCTCAAAATGGGGCACTTAGCAATGTGATTTTACCGCGAAAAAGTATGCTTCCTTTGAAAATTCCCGGGTGTACCGGCCGCCCCAGCAATGCTTAAAATCCTGCTTACACTGTCGGATCAGCAAAGTATGCTAGTTCTGGAATTAACAAAGTGTTTCTAATCCTTTGAGCAATGAAGAGGAAACAACGACTGTGGTCAAAATTTTTTAAAAAAACATAGAAGAGGAAAGTGTACTTGAATTACTGTCAGCCAGGACACGAGGCTCAGAAAAAATTACCGCAGAAAGAGCACAAACATTATGAAAATAAATAGCAGACGAGGCGAAATCAAACCCCATGTAAGAAGTTCTGGAGTATATGTTTTAAGCAAAACAAGACGCAAGCTGTTAAGTGTCCCAATGACTTGTACACATGCAATCGAGCAAAAGATAACTACAGTAGTGTAAAGGAGAAGGCAGAAGTGCTCAGCAGACTATTTCTCGTCGGTTTTTACATCGAGCCGTGGCCCCGAGGGCGACTTTCCAGCTATAACATTACAACACCAAAAGCAGTAGACTAAACTAAGAGTCAATTATAACGGCATTACAACCAGCACTGTCCGAAATAGAGAGAGACGTGCAAAGAAACTAAAACTTCCAAAATCACCACAGCCTTGACAACAGTCCACCCCCGAGTCTTGAAGGAAATTATCGTACAGGTGATCAAGGCAAGCCACTATCTAGCAGATATTTTAATCGGCGTCTATACAAACCAGCAGATACCACAGGAGTGGAAGTGCGCTAATGCTATACAGTGTAACATGATCTTTTTCACGGTGTTTGTTTGGTGACAGTTATTCGCGTAGACGCAGCGTTCCGCGCTACGATTGGATTGTTACCAGGGAGTTGGGATAAGTCAGGTCTAGGTTAGGCAGTTTCTAGGATGATCTGTGAAATGAGGGGAAAGTGTGGCAACTGGACAGCAACGGGTGACATTGTGCGCTCAAGATGTAGGGAGTTGTTGGGCGAAATATATAGGGAGAAGATGCTAATAGGAGAGGGATGGTAAATTCGGGTTCTGGGCGCGGGAGCTAGGCTTGAGCACACGCGCGTATGCGCGTGTGCGCGTTCTTTGTCTGTTTGGTGGCGATTGTGTGATGATTGGCTTACACAGTGTCTCGCATGAGTATTAAAAGGTTGTACAGTTACCACACAAGTTTGGATCTTCTTCATCATTTCCTACGCTGACTCGCATTCTGTTTACAACGACGCACTCTTCAAAGAAAGGAAAGGAAGGTCGTGAGGGAATTACAGACCAGTCCAGTCTGACTATGCATAACGTGTAGGTTACATAGAGTTATTTTTCGGAAGAGCATTGTTGATCATCATGAAGGTAATAAACTATTCAGTAGGAACAATTTGGATTTATCAGTGGGCGGTCTTATGCATTGTCTTGAGCTGTATATCCAGTAGGCGGCTAGTAGATGAAAGGTACAGAATATCTTGATGAAGGAGCGAGGCTGTGTGGATGTAATTACTAGTAATTCATGAAAGTAAGCTTTTGATAAGGTCCGCCATCAACAAGGGTTCTCATACATAAGATGAGAATGTACAGGATATACTGGATACATCGTCACGGTTCGTGTCAGAGCTTTCCTACTAGGC